TCTCTCTCGTCGTCTCTCTTCCTCTTCTCTCATCGTCTCTCGCCCACTCCCTCACTCTCTCTCTCTCTCTCTGTCTCTCTCTCTCTCTCTCTCTCTCTCTCAACCAACTGGTGATTACCAACAGTCAAAATTGTATCTAGACAGAACGAGATGAGATAATCATACACAGACGAAGAGAGAGGAGGGAGATTAGACAAAGGAGAGGAAATTAATACAAGGTCCACTCGTGCTTCGGGCTCCCTCCTCAATCACCACCTCAATACTCAATAGTCTGAACGAGTATCTGAAGTAACCTCAATGTGCCACGTGGCATGTCTCATCAGCACTGGAGCAATGTCGACATGAAGACCATCAGGTACGTATCCACGATCTCTCCACAGTCCTGATCTCCTCCCGAATGACGATAATCAGAACAACAATACAAGTCCCGTAGCCTCGCCTCATTAGCCATAGTACAACAGTGGCAGCAGCCACGTCATCCAATAATACACGTGGCAGCGTCCACATCAGCGACAACGCATGGCAGCTGCCACGTCAGCCTGCCAAGAAGACAGGTGCAAGCCAGCCACCATGCCGGACCAGCAGTGCCTCGCCGAATCACAAATGCCAGCGTCGTAGCGTCGAGCCAGCGTTGAAGTCAACGCATGAAGTCAACATCAATGCAAGACAGAATGAATGTCAAAGCCAGGGAGGTCAACGCTTAAGTAGCGTTGACTCGGGGTCTGGACCCCGGTTGCTGCAACCTTTAGCCGTCGAGATCTTGATGCAAACGAAGGCCCTGATTGGTCTGAAATTGAATTCCCTTCGGCCTGGACGCTTGTCTGGGTACCTGCGCACAACAACTGAGTGTATCCAACAAAGGGCCTGGGCGCAGTACCTTTGACTCTACAGTTAACTTTGACCCTTGACTTTCCTGGTTGCAGCGTTTGGTCACACAGCCAAACACGACAGACTTAGGCCTGGGCGTGTCCTGGTCACACAGCCCAATGCAGACCAACTTTGGTCTGCGTTGCCTTGGGCTGAGTTCTGAGCCCCAGACTACTTCTGAACAGGGTTACAACATTTCGCACGGTCGTCCCAGGCCCAGGCAAGGGCGCGCACGGGAAAACGGCGCACGCACACGGCCGTCGCACGTCGGCCTCTATTGCCCTGTTAAAAAAAAATAAATAAATAAAAAAATTGGGGAGGTGTTTTTTGGTATGTGAGAAAAAAAATGAAAAATAAAAAAAAATAAAAAAAAATGGATTGATTGATAGTTTTTTTGATTGATTGATTTATTGATTGGTTGATGGATTGATTGATTGATTGGTTGATTGATTGATTGAATTGATTGATTGATTGATTGATTGATTGATTGATTGATTGATTGGTGGGGGAGGGGTCCTCCCTCCCCTCCCCCTGGCACACGAGCGCGCACACACACACACACACACGCA